TGGTAAAGAGCTCCGCATGCAGGTTGATGCATCAAAAAGTTGCCTGGGTGCTGTACTGCTTCAGGACCACAAACCCATTGCGTATGCTTCAAAATATTTTTTTAAATGATGCACAGTTTGAAAAGGAATTGTATGCTGAGACGTGTGTGAAAACATTTGCATTCGAACACCAATGGCAGAAAGTTTATTGACGAGTCTGATCTCAAACATTTAGAACCCATCCTGAGAAAGCCTCTTGCAGCCGCTCCTCCACGGCTTCAGAATGGTCTTGCAACTACAGAGGTACGATATCGAAATGGTGCACCGTCCAGGAAAAGACATTCCAATAGTGGAATGCCCTATCCAGGAAGCCCATCTTATACAGACTTGAATCACTGGATGAGGATATGGATGCACAAATTCACACAGTTGTAGCTAATCTCCCTGTAAGCGACAGGAAGCTAACGAGCATCTGAAAAGCAACAGAGCAAGACCCACAGCTTACCTCCCTGAGAAGTGTCATGAAAGCCGGATGGCCTGATGTGAGGAAGAAGTGCCCCTCCAGCCTTGCTGGGTACTGGAATCACAGAGATGAGATTTCAGAGATCGAAGGACTTCTGTTTAAGGGTGAGAAAATCATCATTCCACATGTGCTTAGGGTAGAAATGTTAGTGCATACACACTGCACACATGGGAATTGAGAAGAGTAAGCAAAGAGCCAGAGATATTTTATTTTGGCCAGGCATGATGGCCAAACAAATTGAGGAAATGGTGGAAAGATGCACCACATGCTTAGAGCTCCGAAAATAAAATCCAAAAGAGTCCATAACCAGATCCCAGAACGACCGTGGCAGATTGTTGCAATAGACTTGTTCATGTGGAGTGGAGAGGAATATTTAATAGCCGTAGACTACTACAGCAGATTCTTCGAGCTGGAGAGACTCCATTCAACCACATCATCCACAGTCATCCGTAAACTGAAGGCCATCTTTGCTAGGGGCGCGGTACCTGAAAGAATAATTTCAGATAATGACCCAAAGTACAGGTTGCATGACTTCAAAACTTTGCAATTCAATGGGACTTGTAACATCTACTATACTTTAGCAAAGCACATTCTGAGAAGAAGGACCCTTACCTCAGCTTACTCGAACACAGGAACACCCCTGTTGACGGATTTAAGTCTCCCTCACAGTTGCTGATGAGCAGACGTCTTTGCTCCATCCTGCCCACGTCAGGAAAACAGCTACAGCCTTAGGTTGTGGATCAAAAACTGGTGAATGTGAAATGGAAACTAAAACAAGCAAAACAGAGACAGTGCCATGATCACACTGCACAGCCATTGTCAGCATTGGCACAAGGGGTCAATGTTTGCTTTCAACAAGGCATTGGTCGATGGATGCCCCACCTGCGGAGACACACTGGTCATACTTTATCCGCACCCATGATGATCAATGTTCATGACCTATGATGACCTAGAGACATTCTTGGTTTATAAATCATGAACTTCTGACATTCGGTAAGATGTAAAACAAATGTTGCAGTATTATAGATGCTAGTCTGAAGATTGTTTTGTTGAATGTATGTTCTGCTTGTCATTGGTTACGACACTTTAACTAGTTACTCAAGGTATTTAATAGTTCATATACCAACATGATCTTGGTATTAGGGAATCATTGTTCATCTGTTATATATAAGTGTAGTGTTAATTATTCTGCCCCCTCATGATGTGATTTGGATTATAAATGCTGATTTGTTGTTAACTCTCTGTATGTTGGAGTTGTGAATTATTGGATTCATCATGTTTCGGCACCCCATAATGTCCTTGAAGCATGAAAACGTTGCTCATAATAATAATAATTAATAATAATTCATTACATTTATATAGCGCTTTTCTAGGCACTCAAAGCGCTTCGCATGGAAGGGGGAATCTCCTCAACCACCACCAATGTGCAGCATCCACTTGGATGATGCGACGGCAGCCATAGTGCGCCAGAACGCCCACCACACACCAGCTTACTGGTGGAGAGGAGACAGATGAAGCCAATCAGTGTATGTATATATGGGGATGATTAGGAGGCCATGATGGACAGAGGCCACTGGGCAAATTTGGCCAGGATGCCGGGGTTACACCCCTACTCTTTCGAAAGATCGGGATTCTTTCGGGATTTTTAATGACCACAGAGAGTCAGGGCCTCGGTTTAACGTCTCATCCGAAGGACGGTGCTCTTTGATAGTATAGTGTCCCCGTCACTATAATGGGGCGTTAGGACCCACACAGACCACAGGGTGACCGCCCCCTGCTGGCCTCACTAACACCTCTTCCAGCAGCAACCTGGTTTTCTCAGAAGGTCTCCCATCCAGGGACTAACCAGGCTCAGCCCTGCTTAGCTTCAGTGGGCAACCAGTCTTGGGCTACAGGGTGATATGGCTGCTGGATAATGGCTGCTCATGTCCACAATGTCATGATCACAGCAGGGTGTGCCTCCAAGGTATATGTTGGGCCCCTCATATTGAGTTAGGTTGTTCATTTTCCCTTTTTGGGTTGCCCATAATGTTGTGGTTACCACAAGGTGTGCTCTCTCGTTGCATGCTGGGCCCCTTATATTGAGTCACGTTCGCTATGTTCTACATTTCGGACCACTATACGTGTGCATTTTTGGCAGTTTTATCACTTGTGCTTGTAACAATGCCCTCGGAGGAGTTTTGCTGTAGTTTACATGACCATAATGTTGTGGTTACAACAGGGAGATATTTGCACATAGAGAGTTGTGTTCTAAGTCTAGAAGATCTCTAGTATTCTATCCAGTGTTGGCCATGCCCACTTCACTTTAATGGAGGTACTTTCGGGAGCAGGAATTCATTCCTAGTTGGAGAAAGTGGCCATAGAGGAAGTGCCTCCTTTCCAGAAGGAATCCGGTATGACAGTTGATATTACCTTTTGCTGAAAAAGGATGACGGTTTGCAGCCAATCCTGGACTTGCATCTGATGAACTTGATCTGAAGGATGCATATTACATTTTCAGATAGTCTAGGGCAGGGGTCTTGAGTTCAGCTCAAATCCTAATCCAAACCACCTGAAGCAGATAATCAAGGTGTTCAGGATTACTTGAAAATTACAGGCAGGTGTGTTGGAGCAGGGTTGGAAAGGAAGTCTGCAGGAAGGTAGCTCTCCCGCATTGAAGACCCTTGGTCTAGAGACAAAGGGAAATCCTCAGGTTTGCTTCAGGCAAAGCTAACCAATTCAAGGTTGTTCCTTTTGACCTTGCCTTTGTGGCTTGTATGTTCACAAAATATATGGATGCGGCATTGAGGGTCTAGGGCGTGTGGGTGTTAAATGAACTCGATGATTGCCTGATTCTAGCGCATTCAGAGGAGTTGGTAATTCGACATCAAGACTTAGTTCTCGATCATTTACCGAGGCTAGGTTTAAGGCTAAAATCTTTAGAAAAGTCTTTTGTTTCTGAGGCAACAGACAATATTTGTTCATGCCTGATTGCCCGAATCAGTTCAGAGCAGGACAAGAGATCCACAAACTCTTGGGTCTTATGGCAGCGTCCCTGGTGATACTATTGTGTACCTTTGGACCTACTCCATTTTAATGGTGGATAAACAGCTAAAGAGTTCATCCCTATTGGCATGCTCACCACAGACACAAAATTACACACATATGATATCAAACTCTGTTGCAGTAAACCCATCCCCTGTTTTATTCAGGGTGTGTTTTGGCGAAATGTATCACAACGAGATGATCACAAAAGATGTCTCGTTAGCAGTTTGAAGCAGGATTTTGATGGGCACCCAGCCTATGGAGTGCTGTGGGGTGATGATCCTACACATGGCACATGCACTGCCTGGAGAGGATGGCTGTTTTCTGGCCTAACCCATGTCCTTCCTGCCGTACCAGTGCAGGATCTCTAGATCGCAGTCTGCCCCCTCACCCGGACTATCCTGCCCCCAGAATGTGAATATAGATTTTAATGATGAAATAGAATAGACTATTTAACAAAATCACAATTGCTAAGTGCAGAGGCTTTCTAGCATTAATATTATTAGGCTACTATAGCAACATTTTAGTTAAGGACAGTTTTTCACAAAACTTTCACAAAGTCACATTTTGGGCTCTAGGCTGAAGCATTTTTTTGTTTAGAGGGCTAGATAATTGGTTGTAGTTAGTTGACTATTTCACTCTGTTGTTATTGTTTGTCACCGGTTGCAGTTCAGGCTGTTCTTATTTACAGTAGCATAAAATTATGCATCTGTTAAACGGGTCGCAAAGAGTGTGTTAGGTGTTAGTGAAGTGGTCGCAATGTGTGTTTTATAGTAAAGCAGACACAATGAATTACTTTTCCTGCTGGTAGTATCACGTTGCTCTAGTTTGTGTTAGGTCATCGGCCCGCTGCCTGAAAGGCACATTATGCTGACTGGAACTTCGAACACTGGGTCAGATCAAGAAAAATGTGGATTTCAGTTTGGGTTTGTTCATTATATTTCATCCTGTCATTTTGATGGATGGATGGTTTGAGTCGGCCTATATCGATTCAAAGTAGATTGCTGCTTAGTTCTTCTTATTCTTACTTCATCCATCCAAAATATCTAACATTTGGGAATCAAACAATGTAATCGTCTGTCAAAAATAAAGAAATAAGAGCTAACCCAAACACTTTTTCTTTTTTCTCTTCTATTCTATATATTTTTTTTTATTATTATTACATGTACTGCGTTAGACTAAACTGGGAAGGGTCACAGCACTTACATATTGTTGTCCTATTGTTAGTTTAATTGCTTCTATTGCTCTCCTCATTTGTAAGTCACGTTGGATAAAAATGTCTGCTAAATGATTCATGTGCAAAAAGCGGACTGAAAAAAAAAACTTTAAAGTTACATTTTATAAGACCATACTGGCCAGAATTCCCGAAGTGTCAGTGTTGAAGTCTCTGATCTGAAAGGGAACTTTTATTAATGCCTGTGGAGAAAATGAATATGAAAATGTTGATGTGTGGTCCACATCTCTCTCCCCGCAGGACTCCATCTTTAGCAGTCCTCTGGGCCAGAGAGAAGCTTCCTTCCGGGATCATCTGTTTCCTGACAGACTTCCTCCTCCTCCTCCTCGGGTCACTGTCTGGCAGTGCTCAGGTCCAGCACCCTGTGTTGCCCTCCCCCCTCCACACGCCACATCTGTTAAACCTACACCTCACACACACCACTCTCAGTGATGTCACTTCCTCCTCCTCCTCCTCGGGTCACTGTCTGGCAGCGCTCAGGTCCAGCACCCTGTGTTGCCCTCCCCCCACCACACGCCACATCTGTTAAACCTGCACCTCACACACACCACTCTCAGTGATGTCACTTCCTCCTCCTCGGGTCACTGTCTGGCAGCGCTCAGGTCCAGCACCCTGTGTTGCCCTCCACCCCCCACACGCCACATCTGTTAAACCTACACCTCACGCACACCACTCTCAGTGATGTCACTTCCTCCTCCTCCTCCTCGGGTCACTGTCTGGCAGCGCTCAGGTCCAGCACCCTGTGTTGCCCTCCCCCCTCCACACGCCACATCTGTTAAACCTGCACCTCACACACACCACTCTCAGTGATGTCACTTCCTCCTCCTCCTCCTCGGGTCACTGTCTGGCAGTGCTCAGGTCCAGCACCCTGTGTTGCCCTCCACCCCCCACACGCCACATCTGTTAAACCTGCATCTCACACACACCACTCTCAGTGATGTCACTTCCTCCTCCTCCTCGGGTCACTGTCTGGCAGTGCTCAGGTCCAGCACCCTGTGTTGCCCTCCACCCCCCACACGCCACATCTGTTAAACCTGCATCTCACACACACCACTCTCAGTGATGTCACTTCCTCCTCCTCCTCGGGTCACTGTCTGGCAGTGCTCAGGTCCAGCACCCTGTGTTGCCCTCCCCCCCCCCACCCCCCACACGCCACATCTGGTAAACCTACACCTCACGCACACCACTCTCAGTGATGTCACTTCCTCCTCCTCCTCCTCCTCCTCGGGTCACTGTCTGGCAGTGCTCAGGTCCAGCACCCTGTGTTGCCCTCCCCCCACCACACGCCACATCTGTTAAACCTACACCTCACGCACACCACTCTCAGTGATGTCACTTCCTCCTGGAGCTCCACCCATCAGCACACGCCGGGATCAGCGCCATCAGGACGCTGGTCTGAGCCGAACGTTTAAACGGACACTTAATGAGCCATACCAGCCAGACCTGAGCAGAGCGAGAGCAGCGACCAACAGCATCTCTCTCTCTCTCTCTCTCTCTCTTTCAGCGCTCTGCCCACGGGTGACTGACACAAGATTAGAATTAAGAAATCATATTTTGCTTAAAGAAAATCAAGGACCATTAAGATCTATTGCATTGTGACATATATTTTCATGACAATTTGCACAAAAAAAATATTACTGTAGTGCATTTTAAAATTATTATTATTCCTTTTTTGGTATCACTTCATTTCGATGGTCCACTTTAAACATTTTGCTAACTATAAGTAACTTTGCAACTACATGTCAAATAACTCTCATTAGAGTATTAGTAGACTGTTCGGTTCAGGATTCACATGCAAAGCTACTTATAGTCAGTAGAATGTCTAAAGTGGACCAGCAAAATGAAGTGTTACTTCATAACAATTTTTAAATGAAAGCATACATAAAACTAGTAAAACAAATATTATCATGCTGTATAAATCATTTTAAATTCAACTAATATTGTTTTTCACATTGTAGTAATATAATTCTAATAGGATTTAGTTTTTTATTTAGTTTGAGAATTTAAGAAGTGTGCAAAATTATGCTTATATGAATCTACAAATAATCTCAATGGTCCTAAAGTAGGCTTGGTTGCCTTCATGCACAGTATTTTCTTGATGCTGTGGATGGGTTTGGTTGGATTCCCCCCTAGAGCATATAAACACACACAGTAGAAGAGTAGGTCTGCCTGTAATCTTGTGTTTTTGAGACTAACATTCATTCAGACTAGCAGAATGACAGATAGATGTTCTAACGCTGTATTTGTTGTAGATGACAGCTCTATATGTTGTCTAACAATCATAAATGAACGTGCCAATGGCCATTGCACCAGTCATCTCTCTGTGTGTGTGTGTGTGTGTGTAGTATTATAGTACAGTAGTGCAACTGAAACCATTGTAAGCAAAAAGCGATGTTATAGAATACTGTAAAAAATGAACTTTTTAAGAACAATATCTTGTTTGAGTCAAAGTCATATTTAAAGAAGAATGCTACTAGAAACTTCCACTGGGATCCGATACGAGGGGATTCTGAAGCACAAATGCAGTATGATGAAGCTTTGAGCTGCTATACAGCGTCTCACAGACGGAGAGCGAGGGTTTGAGGAGCTTGCATGCCTTTAACTGGAAAGAACTTTTCGGATTTTCCCCCATACTTTTCTTTTCCTGTGGAGTTACGCACAGGACTTCTGAGGGCCAGAGACTGGATTATTTTTCTATCTATTAAAGATGGGTCTTGTTTCTTCATAAGTGCAATATGTTGGTCATGATGGGCTAAAGCATCTTCACTCTTACTTCAGCATAGTGGCGTGTAGATCCTCATCAAACCAGTGTTTTCATCCAATGCAACGTCTAAGTGATCGGCTAGGCTTTAACTGTGATTTGTTCTCGATGTTGTTTTTGGGTGTTTATTTATTATAGAAAATAAACCAGTGTTACCATGACAATGAAGTGCAATCATGTAAAAAGTACTTTTGTTTTTCTTTTATTTAACTTTTAAACAACCAGGAGATTGTTTCAGGTGAATATTCTGCTATATTATGCAAGCGTCTGTATGTTTAGAGGAATGTTTATCTAGAGAAAATAACGTCTGGTCTGTGAAACGAAGCTGTTGTAAAGATGCATTCTGATCAGATATATAAGCTGAAAACTGAAGAACAATACTTCAGTTTTGTAATTATGTTTTCATGCCCCCGAACCAAAGCATTAGGTTTTATTTTGAACATATCACATCTCTTGAGTGCAATATTCAGTCTGGTGTTTTAAAGTCAACATGAAACCAGAACTCGCCGGTTTACTTTCGGAAGACGGTCCTGGTCTTGTTGTGCACGATTCATTGGTGCACATTCATTTCAAGAAAAAATAAATAGTCTTTTTAATCTTTTTAGTTTAAACAAATACTTGCACTAAGTCCCCACATGTTTAATATCCTGCTTCACTCACAATAAAAAAGGAAGTAAAATGGATTTGTGAACGTCGTTTCATGTTGACTTTAACAGGAAATTTAAAAGCTTTTATATTTATATTACTTCAGTGTCACACTTTCCAGAGATTTTTTTTCTGCATAAAATGTTAATAACTTAATAATAATCTGATTGACAGGCGAGACCTCAACAATGTGCACTGAATGTTCAAATACAACACTCAGCCTGAACTCTTTATCTCACTTTCTTATTATACTGTATATTTCATTCCTCTCAGCATCCCCTCACGTGTCCGCCCTGTCGTTGCGGTTCAGTACTGTGTCGTGTGTTACTGCAGTGATTAATCAACTGACGGCATGAAACACCCACTCTTAGGCCATGTAGAGACACATTTGAGCAGTTATAATTATATTAGGGACCCGTCAGTAAGTCATTGTGTCTATAGTGTGTCCAGTGTCCTGTCTGTCTGTTTCTCTCCTCACAGGCTGCTATCATCACCGTCCACATCAAACACTCCCAAAAACGGCTAACAGAAACGGGCATTTCGGGTTTATTTAGTTGTTGTAGAACAGAGAATGCTTGTAATTTGAGATTTTTTTTTTTATGTAATGGTTATCTATGTCAGTGTACAGTCAATGTAAAACTCAAACTGTGACGACATTCAGAGCATAAAATAAAATGAATATACGATGTTGTGTTTTTATTTTAAAATCATTTATATATAGACTACAGAGCTGTATGACTTGGCCAAAATTTTATTTTGTTATATATTGTGATTTGATGAGCTATGACTTCATGTCATACGACACTGTGTAATATTGCTACTGGAGACATCCAGACAGAGAGAGCAAAGACGGCTCATTCTCTCAGCTGGGTTCACTCTTTACAAGAATCAACAAACTCTACAAGTGACAATACAAATATTTATGTCATAAAATCTTCACTTTCAAAGGTTAAAACCCTCAAACTTTTGAAATTCTATCCATAAAAATGTTGGAAAGTTTATGTAATGACATCTACTATAATTACACTGTTGAATACCTTAACCCAGCCTTAAACCTCACCTACCACACCAACTAACCTGTGCTAACCTTACCATACCTTACCGTATCCACCTCAATACCTTAACCCAGCCTTAAACCTCACCTACCACACCAACTAACCTGTGCTAACCTTACCATACCTTACCTTACCGTATCCACCTCAATACCTTAACCCAGCCTTAAACCTCACCTACCACACCAACTAACCTGTGCTAACCTTACCATACCTTACCTTACCATACCTTACCTTACCGTATCCACCTCAATACCTTAACCCACCCTTAAACCTCACCTACCCACACCAGCTAACCTGTGCTAACCTTACCATACCTTACCTTACCATACCTTACCTTACCTTACCTTACCCGTATCCACCTCAATACCTTAACCCACCCTTAAACCTCACCTACCCACACCAGCTAACCTGTGCTAACCTTACCATACCTTACCATACCTTACCATACCTTACCCGTATCCACCTCAATACCTTAACCCAGCCTTAAACTTCACCTACCCACACCAGCTAACCTGTGCTAACCTTACCATACCTTACCATACCTTACCCGTATCCACCTCAATACCTTAACCCAGCCTTAAACCTCACCTACCCACACCAGCAAACCTGTGCTAACCTTACCATACCTTACCTTATCATACCTTACCTTACCTTACCCGTATCCACCTCAATACCTTAACCCAGCCTTAAACCTCACCTACCCACACCAGCAAACCTGTGCTAACCTTACCATACCTTACCTTACCCGTATCCACCTCAATACCTTAACCCAGCCTTAAACCTCACCTACCCACACCAGCAAACCTGTGCTAACCTTACCATACCTTACCTTACCTTACCTTACCTTACCTTACCCGTATTCCACCTCAATACCTTAACCCAGCCTT